TGAGGTAATGTAGTCGTCTTGAAGTAGAAGGACTGCTAATTACATGTTTCATTATCGCTTGGCCTCGAAAATGCTGTTGGTGACGTGTGATAGACAACTTCAATGAAATTACTATTAGTCAGACGTATACCATATGCACTATTGCACTGCACACTTCTGAATTCTGCATTGTTGCATTTTTATTTTTCTTATCCAAGGAAGTTCGTCTTTTAAGACAAGTCCTTGAGGACTGCGACACCTTTTGCTTCCTTGTAGTTCTGCACAATGCTTATCTCTTGTTGATTTTCATCTCCTGCTATTTGAGGCAATTGCAACCCAAGCAAGTCTCTGTCTATCCTTGGATAGTGAATTATTGAAAAGATACATAAAAATTGAAAAATCATGCAAAAAAATTGAATTAACACTGACATTGCAATCTGATATATTTTGATTATATCTTACGGCCCTTGCTATCACAAAGAGAGAGAGAGAGAGAGAGAGAGAGAGAGAGAGAGAGAGAGAGAGAGAGAGAGAGAGAGAGAGAGAGAGAGAGAGAGAGAGAGAGAGAGAGAGAGAGAGAGAGGTAGAGGTAGATTAGTAGTCATTAAATCAAAAACAAAATCTAAATCATATTTTTCCCACATGTACAATGACGTCAGACCGATGGCTTTGAACTGAAATATATCTTTCCAATTTTAATAATTAACTCGAGTTTCTGATATACATAGCCTCGGCTGCTTTATCTTAATCCATACATTTAATATTCATAATATTGGATGGTAACTGGATAAAAAGAAACATATAACCAGTATCATAATATTTATTGTGTACAATATTCTCGTACGCAGAATATTCATATAATTATGGACACAGTAGTTCTTTCTTGGCAATGTGGAAAGTTATTGAACACCAATAACTTCAACATAACATAACAACATTATTGATATAAAACAACTAAATATCACTAAACATAATGTTTTTTTCCTCATTTCTCTCTCTCTTTAAATAAATACGTTTTATTTATCATAAATATTTCTTCTTTTTTACCCCATCACTTAAAAAAAACTATTTTCAGGTGTTTCAAATAAATATTTAAAGGTAGGCCTGTATTTACTATCAGGTGTATACAGGACCTCGCAAAAACTCGCAAAATCTCGCACAAAGAAACTCTGACGTCATCATTGCCTAGACAGGAAATTCTACTGCCTCGGAACACACACAATGTTCACCACCCTGACAACTATGTTCTTGTTCAGGCATAACAGACTAGTCTCTGGTCAGATGCTAAACAAATGCACACTGAATTTGTTTACTCTTTTGATTATACTCACGACGAGACAAACGTTCATATATATATATTCATATTTACATACATATACACGTGAAAACTCAGTCTTACTTCAGAGTCAGGACGAGAGGTACATGTTGTGACCAAGTAATTCTTTTTTATGTTGCTGACCCTGAAAATCTTTAGTATTTTACTGTCTTTTTTATATATATAACAGGAATACAAGTCGTATAAAAGACTGCTCCAAAAAATCGCATCGAAGATTGTCAAAAAAATCTATGTACAACAGACCTCAAAATCTTAATTAAAAAAAATCTGAGTTCGAAATCTGAAATAGTGAAATTCACTGAGTTTCCTGACGGCGTCTATAGTAACAACAACTATATAGTCAAGTTATATAACGTTATGGCTTTCATTAATTCATCTTACAAACTACAATTCCTGCTCTACCGTCTATAATATGACTAAAAAAATTGCTATGGCCAAAACTGAGTTTGGAGTGTTTGTATTATAGTAAATCTGATACACATCTTTCCACATATTTGGCTATAAAAATTGGTTTGAAAAATAATACTAGATATGAGAGGTTTCGGCATTTTAGCGAAGCCTTGGCAGTCCAGCAGTAATCAGAACACGTTGCAGACAAGTTTTGCAACATGACTATCTTTATAACACATTGTTTTTTTTAAATATGCTTCAATGAGAAAATATTGTCTGTGACCTTGTGTTCATTTCAGAATTAAGGTTCGAATCACTTTTTGTCGATTTCTGATTACTTGCAATGTTGCTCTCCAGGAATGACTCACTCAGTTAAACTAATGATCTTGTTCTAGTATTATGACTAGTTTACATTTGTTATTTTGGTATGATCTGCCTTCGTTACACTCCAGAAAACTATTCTACTTTATATATAAAGATCTACCTCGCAAACAAACACACGTACTCGCGGAAACAAGGCAACCAGAAACAAACACACACACACACACAAACACACGCACTCACAAGGCATTTTATCTGTATTGTCTTTTCTGTGAGATTCCCGAACTGAGGGACACAGTCTTTGGATTCAAGTGGTAACGGAACTTCGTCTCAGAACTGGAAGGACTTGTAGGACTTGATGAAGAGTTTCAGAATACGGAGGACTATTAGGGCTTTTTAAGAACTTGGAAGAGTTTTAGAACTTGACATTTTAGATGTTGAAGAACATGAAAGGCCTTTGAGAACTCAAGCTTGCGACGACCTCGGGTCCTCCCATTCGCCCAGCGTGTACACGGAGGCGGTTCGCCGAAGCGTCGCTGCGCCCACGGCCGGCGAGCCCATCTGCATTTCGCTGTTGGCTCGGGTCAGCGCCGAGAAGGGGCTCGCCTCCTTGCCCTCGTCGGCCATGATGATCGGGGAGGCCCTGGTCGCCACCCTCTGGCCGGCCAGCACCACGCACCCGCTCTCCGTCGCCGTCGTCGTCGTCGTCGTCCGCCTCTTGGAGGTCTCCAGGATGGCTGTGCGCCTGAAGGCCGTCGGGGTGCGCGCGGCGACGTCGTTCCGCTCGTCGTAAGGCAAGTCGTTGTCCATGGGGTCGCTGCGGCCGTCGGGAGGAGGCCTGACGAAGTGCCACGAGGAGTCGTCCCCCTCCTTGCCCTCGCCCAGGAGCATGAGCGAGCCCAGCGACCGCCTCGGGATCATGGCCGGGGGCACGCCGGCGTTCAGGAGCGTCTGCAGCTGCTGGTTGGGCGACAGGAGGGCGGGGATCTGCGAGCCGACGAAGGGCTGCGGCACCACGGGGGGCTGGCTCTTGGCCGCGCCCCCGTGGCTCTCCGTCCGGAGCAGGACGAGCGAGTGCGGGCGCTGCGCGTGGCCGTTCATGGCGCTGTGCTGGTAGTAGGTCTCGTCCAGCAGAGCCTGACTAAAAAACGCCTCGCTCTCGTACAACTGCGGAGACAGAGCAGGGGGCGGGCAGCCCGTCGGCATCGTGTGCAGGGCGGTCTTGGCGGCGGCCGAGGTTTCGCCGGCGCCGCGCTCCGCCCTCGGGGACGCGTGGGGCTCGAGGCCGCCGCTGTTCAGGCGGCTGACGATGCGCGACAAGAGCGTCCCCATGCCGGAGTTCCTGGAAGCCGAGTCCATGGGGCCGGAGGCGCTGCGGTACACGCTGCCGTTCTTGCTGGCGCCCCTCGAGCGCTTCGTGGAGCCGTTGCGCACGGTCGACGACGACTTCTTGACCGAGTTGAGCGGCGAGGCCCGCGTGGACACGGTCCGCGCCGACGAGTGGTGGTTGCGGGGCGGCGTCGAGGTGGTGGAGTGCGTGTGTGCCGAGGAGTGCGTGGAGTGCGTGTGCGTGGTCGGAGGGCGCCTGCGCAGCGTGCCCGTGGTCAGCAGGGCGATCCAGGCGGCGCGCGCCTCGGGGTGCTGCGCCACGCGCACCACGAAGATGATCAGGCCCTGCAGCGGGGTGGTGATGCAGAAGATGTACTGCAGCGTGAGGCGCGCCCACCCGATGCTGACGGCGCCCGCGACCCACGTCACGCCCAGCAGCGCCACCACGGTCACGGCGCCGCGCACCTGAGCCAAACAAATGCAGGTATGAGGCATCAAACACATAAAAAGGGCAAAGAATGCAAGACGTTGTTTACACAATCGTCATTACCAAAATCATTCTACAATTTATCCAATTTATCCACCTCCTCTGTGAAACAAAAAGAAAAAAATACTAGAAAAAATGAGATAAATTCATCGAATAGTCTTATCGCCTTATCACCCCCCCCCTTCCCCAACACACAGCCTAAAACACCCCCCAAAAAAACTCTAAACCCACAATACCTGCGCCAGGGTGACGGGGCCTTCCCTCTTAGGGGTGACTGAAGAGGAGTGGGGCTTGTGGGACCTCGGGCGCCGCTGGCAAAGGACGCGGGTCACCATCACGAACACGACGCAGTTGACGGCGAGCACGCAGCAGATGGGGCCTGCGGGGGAGCGGGGGCGAGGGATCACATGTTACTAAAGAATCATATAACGTAGGATGCGTTATTCCTAATTATATTACTTAATTACTAATTTTAATCACTCAATTCTATATTCTTAATTACTAAAGAATGATATAAGTTAGGATGCGTTATTCCTAATTAAATTACTTAATTACTAACTTTAATCACTCAATTCTATATTCTTAATTACTAAAGAATGGAATAACTTAGGATACGTATTAAGGAAGGATATTAAGACTTGATTAATAACTAAATTAAGTTAGCTCTAAGTTAAATTACTTAATGACTTACTTTAATCACTCAATTCTAAATTCTTGATTGCTAACGAATGGAATAACTTAGGATATGTATTAAGTAGATATATTAAGGGACATTAAGCGAGGGTATTAAGGCTCCTAATGAGGACTATTAGCAAACGTGTGGGGATTACTTAAGAATATATATATTAAGTAAGGGTATTTAGAGAGTACCTAATGCCTTTAAAATAACTGAGATCTAGAAATTTTGTAGACAAAAAAGAAACGAAAAGAACTAAAAAAAAGAGTTGGCCTTTCTTGATAGTGTCGTCATATTAGGTATATAAATTAAAATCACAAAGAACTAAAAAAAAAAAAAAATTACAGCCAGCAAAAAATAGCCTCATCAAAAAAGGAAAATTGATATAGGGTGGTTGCAATAGTTGAAAGAAGAAGAAGAAAAAAAAGACTGAAAATTAATATGCGCGTAAAATAAAACTCTCTTGGGATACGATAATCTCCCAGCACTTCCTAAATATATCCCAAAAGCGATGATGTACAATTTTTTTTCTGAATTCTACAAATATAAATTTACAACAAAAAATTCCACCCCCCCCCAAAAAAAAAAAATTCCGATTTCCACCAACAAAAACATGCAACAAAATACCTTTACCCCCCCCCAAAAAAAAAAAAAAAAAAATCAGATTTTTTTCGAATTTCATCAATAAAGACACAACAAAATACTCAAATCCTTACCCCCCGACCCCCCCAATTTTTTTTTTTTTTTTTTTTTAAATCAAATTAAACCAATAAAGACATAAAACAAAATACAAAATTCCCTCCCCTCTCCCTCTCCCCCCAAAAAAAAATCATATAAAAAAATCTATTTTTCCAATTCCACCAATAAAAACAAACCGCAAACTACGCAACGCCTTACCCATATACGCAGCATAGTACACGATAACGTTATGCCTGGGATTGATGACGCAGATGTCCCTCGCCTCATCTTGGTACACCCTGTAGTCGACGGCCAAGGCAGTCACGACAACCATCAGGGGAACTCCTGTCAAGAGAGAGGGGCAGGGGTGTATATATATATATATATTTTATTTTATAGATGATGAATGATGGTATTGATCTTTATTTCATTCTATTGAAAAAAAAAATAGCAGACAATAACAAAAGATGGTATTGATGTTATAATCATAAATGGTGGTATAAATGTTTTCTTTTTGTTTTGAAAAAAATCGCAGACAATAACAAAAGATGGTACTGATGTTATAATCATAAATTTATTAATGTTTTTTTTATTCTTTTGAATGTTCAAAAGATTGATATAATAATAAATGATGGTATTGATTTTTTTCCATTCTATTGAAAAAAAAAAAATCGTAGGCAATAACAAGTGATGGTACTGATGTTTTTTAAATTCTATTGAACAAATAAAATAGACAATAGGATTTTATTGTTTTCTTTTCTTTTTTCTGGTGTTTAAGTAAAAAAATGATAAAGAGCGTGTGCGGATATTTCTTTTATAGATAATAACAAATGAGATTATGATTTTTTTTTTAATGAAAGAAGATAAACTCAAGATCAGATTATAGTGTACGTAACTGGATATACACACGAGGAGGCATGGACACACTTACACACACACACATACATAAACACACACACAGACACACACACACACCAACCAACACACACACACACACGCACACATTATACACGCAAACACACACACCCACACTCACACAAACCAACAACCAACCACACCCACCTACACAAACCAACCAACAACCACGCAACAAACAAACACCCATACACGCAAACCACACACAACCACACCAACACACCAACACACACACCCACACAACAAACACCCACCCCACACACCACCAAAACCAACACCCACACACCCACACAAACACCCCACATCCACACCCACCCACACAACCCCCACCCCACCCCTCCCACACAAACAACCTCCAACGAACAAACAACCTCCAACACTGACCCCAGGCGCCGACCACCCTCTTGGCCATGAAGTGAGTCTCAGCCGAGGCGAACACGGTGATGAGGAGCTGGTACATGTTCGCGGCCTCGACCAGCATCCAGGCGAAGGCAGCGAGGACGAGGTAGTGGAGCTGTTGGGGAGAGAGGGAGGGAGGGAGAGGGTTAAGAGATGTGGGATGGTGGTGTTGAGATGGTGAGGTGGTGTTGAGATGGTAGAGAGAGAGTAGGTAGTAGGTAGGTGTAGGTAGGTAGGTAGGTAGGTAGGTAGGAAGGAGAGAGGGAGAGGAGGGGAGGGAGAGGATAGATAGAAGATAGATAGAGAGAGAGAGAGGGGGTAAAGATGGTGTGGTGTTGAGATGGAGGTGTTGATTTGGTGATCATGGTGTTGAGATAGTGTGGTGTATAGAGGTAGATGAGCTGTTGGAGGACGAGTGAGAGAGAGGGTTAGAGATGGCGTGGTGTTGAGATGGTGTTCGTATGGTGATGATGGTGAAAAGAGGAATAAAAACAGTACAGAGGTACGTTAGAAAAAAAAAAATAGACCACAATGATAACCCTAGTAATTTTGATCGGTAAAATTAACATTGAATAAATACACATGATGCAGAATAAATACTTGGACGATACACAGGATACAAAAATGAATTGGAAAACTAAGGCATTTAACTGAAACGAACGAGAAAAATGAAAATAAAGGTATACCCGTCATCATAAAAAAATAATAATAAAAAATAAAATAAAGAAAGGAAAAGAATAGACAGTGGAAAAAAATACAAAGACAAAAAAAAATCAGAGAGAGAGAGAAAAGAAGAGAGAGAGAAAGAAAAAGGAAGAAAAGGAAAAGAAACAAACAAAAAAAGAACAAAAGAAAGAAAGAGAGAGAGAAAAAACTGAGCAAACAAAAGGAAAGAATAATCACCGCGGCGCCCAGAGCAGTGCAGGCGATGAAGACAGAAAAAAACTGAACAAACAAAAGGAAAGAATAGTCACCGCGGCGCCCAGAGCAGTGCAGGCGATGGACGAGGGCTTCACTTGGGTCGTGATGAAGAACACGCAGTTGAGGAGCAGCAGCGCCAGGGAGAGGTTCATCACGATTTTGCCGCTCCTGTCACGGTTCAAAGTCCTATGTGGTGCAGAAAGAAAGGAAAAAAAAAAAAAAAAGAAACGATAATAACGACGACGAGGGAAATGTTCTAAAAGTAGGATAAAAATTAAAGAAAAAATATCGAAAAAGTTTATATATATATATTTTGTAACCTTTTTCACAACGATTTTAAACTACGTATTTCTTAAGAAAGCAACACGCAGACAGAATAATGTGGAAGTTACAAATAACAGGAAAATAACGAATCTGTTATAAGAACACATTTAGATCATTCTTAAGAGGCAGAAACACAAAAACAAACTTTTTGGTGTTCCTGTCTGAAAACGAAACTAATTTGACTCGAAACGTCACGTGTTTTGCGTTTCTCATTTAATTGACTTTCATTTCGTATGATTTATATCTTTATCTTTCTCGCCCCCCCCATCCTTATTCTCTCTCTCTCCCATCCCCCATTCCTCCATCTTTCTCCCTCCTCCCATCTCCCACCCTATTTACTCTACCTCCTCTTCCCTCTCCCCTACCCTCCCATCTCCTTCCCTTCCCTTCCCGTACATGTCCCTCTTCCTCCTTCTCCATCCTCCTTCCTCGCTCCTCCTCCCCTACCCTCCCATCTCTCCCTCTTCCTTCCCCTTTCTCCATCACCCTTCTACTTTTCCCCTATCCTATCATCTATCTTCCTTCCCCTTTCTCCCTCCCCTCTCCTCCCAACTTCCTCTCCCTTCCCTTCCCCCTCCTTCCCCCATCCCATCCCACTTTCCCGTCTTTCCCTTCTAACTCTCCTCACCTAGTCCCCCCACTTCCTCTTCTCTCCTCTCCTCCCTCTCCCCCATCTGACCTCCTCTCCTCCCCTCTCCCTCTCACCCTCCCCTCTCTCCCATCTCACTTCCTCTCCTCTCCTCCCTCTCCTCACCCTCCACTCCCCCCCCCCCAACCCCACCTCACCTGAAGATAGCATAAGTAGCCACGGTCGCCGCCAGTCCCGCCGTGCTGAGCGCTAGGCCTACGTAAGTGATGATGGACAGGACCTTCTCGTGAACGCCCAAGGAGGTGGGCATCGGGTCGAGGAGGACCGAGAAGGCCGTCAGGTGGGAGGCGTGGCAGGTCGTGACTCCGCCCACTGTCTCGGTCTCCATGCCGGCGCTCGACCAGTCTTGGGCTGGTGGGGTAGGAGGGGGGTTAGAGTGAGGTGGGGGCGGTTGGGGGGTGAGATGAAGGTGGAGGGAGGGGAGGAGGGGGAGGAGGAAGAAGGGGTGGAGGAGGAAGAGGGGTGGAGGAGGAAGGGAGGGGAGAGGGGGAGGAGGAGGAAGCGGAAGGGAGGAGGAGGGAGGAGGAGGAGGAGGAGGAGGAGGAGGGAGGGAGGGGAGGAGGGGAGGAGGAAGAAGGGAGGAGAGGAGGAGGAGGAGGGGAGAGGAACAGGAGGAGGTAATGATAATGATTGATAATAATGGTGACAATGTGGTGGTGATGATAATGATGGTAACAATAATCTTTCAGATCGAAGATGGCTGTTTCAATAACATTACAGTTTGAAAAATCATAAATAGTTTTTTTTCACTGATCATTATCCTTATTCCATAATTTTGGTAAATTATTAATAAAAAAATAAACTACGAATAATTATAAGGAAAAAAATCATCCTACACAAACTTGATTCTAAAACTCAAATCCTTTTCCATAAATAATAGAAGAGGAAGACGATGAAGGATAAGAAGAAGGAGAAGGAGAAGAAGGAGAAAGCTAAGAAGGAGAAGGATAAGAAGGAGAAGAAAAAAAGAAAGGGTACAAGTAGAATAAAGAAAAGAAAAAATCACCCACCTGCATCATCCCAGTACACACAAGATGGCCGAAACAGCGATTCGTTTGCGTTCGTGTTGGCTTCGGCGATCGTATACGTCACCGGCTCCGACAGATTTTTCACGGTCGTGTTCGTGATTCGGGCAGTGATCACGGGCATTCCCAACGGACGGCTACCTCGGAAGAATTTGTCGTTGCCGAAAGACACGAATTCCAGTCTCACGCTCTCGCCAGTCGCCATCGACAGAACGGCCGGAGGGAGTTTCAGGTACGAGTCCTTTTTGGCGGGAAAATGGCGGAGAGAGAGAGGGGGGGGGGGGAGTTGTCTTTTTTTTTTTTGTTTGTATTTGTGGGTGTTTTTAGTTACGTTCTTATTGACGATTTTGTGGATAGTTTTGTGAATGTTTTGTATATGTTTTTGATGTTTTTTTTTCTGAGAATGCTTTCGTGATGTTCAGCAAATGGGTGTATTTTTTATCATTTGTGGATGTTTGTGTGATTTTAATATAATAAAAAGTTTTTTATTTCTTGTTTTGCTTTTGATTCATACTTTTCATAGTATTTATATTTATATTGTACCTAAAAAATAAGTTTAAAGGTATTTTTCCTCGCCTAAGATCGCATTTTTAATCACATCACCTTAAACTGTGCGAACTTCCTTCTGTAACAAACTTCAACAACAACAACAACAACAAAACACACCTTTGGCTGACTTGTCTCTGACGAATTGACTTCACGCTTTCTCCTCGACGTCGAAGTCTCCTGAAGTTGCGGCTGAAACAGAATCGCATCGCTGCTGTCTGACCTCAACATCCGGGCTTCCACGACGAGGTTGTTGGACCTGAGAAAGACCAGGAAAAGGCGATAATAAATTAAATAAAATGTAAAAGAGTGAAATGATGACAAGAAGAAGAAAAGAAAAAGAAAAGAAAAGAAAAAGAAAAGAAGGACAACAAAAATAAATAAAGAAAGAAAAAGAAAAGAAAGAAAAAAAAATAAAAAATAATATTATATATATATATATATATATATATATATATATATATTATATATATATATATATATAATATATAGAAATCACAATTCACTCGAAAGATCTTTATTCACCCCACCAAAAATAAACAACTGAATAAACAAATAAAAAAAAAACCCTCACCTGAACTCCACCTTCTCGCCGACCTCCAGAGGAACGCTCTCCGTGAAGCTGTTGATGGTGCCGACCAGCTGCTGCGTGATGTTGCTGTCCCTGTCGCCCTCCGCCACCACGGAGTCGTTCACCTCCATCATGTTGCTGATGGCGGACACCATGTTCTTGGCCACCTGGGGGGAGGGAGGGGGTGAGTTTTGGGGGTAATTTTTGTTTTGGGGTGGGAGGTATGGGAGGGAGTGTGGAGGGGGTAGGGGTGATTAAGGGGAGGGAGATTTTGGGGTGGGGAAGGGAGGGAGAGGGGGAGGGAGAGGAGGTAGGGAGGGAAGTGGTTGTGAGGGTTGGGTAGGGGAGTAAGGGGAGGGGGAAGGGTAGGGTGATTGAGGGTAGAACGGAGAGAGGGGAAGGGGGAGCGGAGGAGAAAGAAGAAAGTAGGGAAAGGAGGGAATGGGTCAAAAACAGTAAAATATATACAAATATTCTCAAACAACAATAACCCAGCACATTTCCCCCAAACCAGACCACAGAAGGAGCGTCCCGCCCGGGCGCCGCCACTCACCGCCCTGTCGTGCAGCGCGTGCTCGACCAGCTTGGCGAGCTCCTTGGCCGCCCGCGTGAACAGGGCGGAGCTCACGCTGGCCGGGGAGGCCGTCAGCGTCGCGATGGACATGGCCGCGTTCTCCGCCGCCTGCGCCTCCTTCCCGCGGCACATCTCCGTGTCGGGTTCCTGCCACGCGACGGTGCCGTTGGGGAGCAGCACGCAGGCCCGAACGGCGCCCGCCTGGACGTGGCTTCGGGCCGGGCCGATGGTCGGCGGCGGCGTCGTGTCGGGCTTGTCGGCCTTCTGGAGCTTCATAATTTCCGAACCTAAGACGGGGATGGCTCTCGGGGATCCGGCGCCGGCGCTGGAGGCCCGGCTGTGTTCGGGGGCAGCGGTTTCTTCCGGCGATCTGGCACCTGGAGCAGCTCCGTCCTTCGCCCTGACGGCCTGCGGCTCCACGTCTACCTCTTCGCCGCCTTCTGAGTCGCCGTGGAGCGCGTCGCCGAGGCTCTGAAGGGGGATCCTCTCCTCCGAGCGGCCAGACAGGGTCTCGCCGATTCGGGGCAGCTCGCGCGCTCCTCCGGCGGGTCTCTGGCGCTGCGACGCTCTCTCGCTCAGCCGCGGGGGGCCGGAGGCGCTCTCGCCGACCCTGGGGGGCGCCGGCTGACTCTCGCCGATGGGGGGCGCCGGCTGACTCTCGCCGATTCGAGGGGGCTCGGAGAGGCTCTCGCCGATTCGAGGGGGCTCTGAAAGACTCTCCCCAATCCTCGGAGGTTCGGATAAACTTTCCCCAATCCTGGGATGCTCCGCTATGTTTTCCCCAATCCTTGGATGTTCGGACAAACTCTTTCCAATCCTGGGGCGATCGGACGCACTTTCCCCAATCCTCGGATAATCCTCTATCACCTCGGTCCCTCCTCTCGACTGCTGCGCCATCCTCGCGCCAATCCTCGGCTGCTCGGCAAAGGCGTCTCCAATCCTGGGCGGGTCAGGAGCCTCTCCGATCCTCGGCATATCCCCGGGGGGGCTGACGAACTGGCGCCCTCTCCTCGAAGGGCTGCCGCCGGCCCCCTCGCCGATGCGGGGCTGCGCCACCGGGGCCTGCTTCTGCGCCCGGAAGCCCCTGATGCGCGGCCTCCCCCTGGGGCGCTGCGGGCCCTCCAGCCCATGCTCCCCCCTGGGTGGCCGGGCTCCCTGCCCTGCGTCGTCCGGGGCGCCCTCCTCCTGCGTCTGCTGCTTCCGCCGCTGCATCCTCCGGCCCGCGCGCCTCGAGACGGCGCCGCGCAGGCGGGACGTGACGAGGCGGCGTCTCGCCCCGGGGTTGTCCTGAGGGAAGTAAGGGAGAAGGTGAATCCAGGCTCCTCTAACACGACAATCAAATCAAATGACCAAGAACCTTTATTACAGAATTCGAGAGCGTGTAAAGCGTGAAGAGCGGGCGGGCGCACCTTCCTGAAGGCGGGGCCGCGCGAGAAGTCGACGTTGCCCGCGTGCGCCGCCACGTCGCGCGTCCGCCGGCTGATGCGGAAGCGGCCGCCCTGCCACTCCGCCTGCGTCGTGAACTCGTCCGAGTCCGGCAGCAGCGTCGGGCTCGAGTCGAGGTCCTCCTCGTACTCGAGGGACATTTCCCCCGAGGACAAGAGAGCCGAGGCCTCGTGCGACGCCCCCGAAGACGCATCTGCGGGCGGTGGCTCGGCGGTGGCGGTGGGACTCGCTGACGGCGGCACCGCTCCGATGGTCGTCCTGAGGCCGTAGGTGCACGACAGGGCGGCCGTCTGCCCGTGGCGCGTCGCCGGCCAGTGGAACTCGCCCGTGTCCAGGACCGTGGTGTGGGCGGGGCACGACTCTGGGCGGGGAGAGGAAACGTACAGAGGGAGGGGCGTGGGGGTAAGAGAGAGAGGGAGGGGCGTGGGGCAAGAGAGAAGAGGGAGGGGGCGGCGTCGAGCGTTGCAAAGACGGGAAAGACAAAGAGAGAAAGAGAGAGAGAAAGAGGAACGTGGAAGCAGCGGACACGGTAAGCTAAGCTTTGTGGTTAACGAAATCCAAGCACTCAACCGCAAAGCCCTTTAACCAATTTATTTATTATGAAAGCTCCCGGAGTGCATGCAGACTCACTCAATTATAATCAAATTATGGATGGAGAGAGAGAGAGAGAGAGAGAGAGAGAGAGAGAGAGAGAGAGAGAGAGAGAGAGAGAGAGAGAGAGAGAGAGAGAGAGAGAGAGAGAGAGAGAGAGATGAAAGACTACCAACATTCACGACTAACGAGAAATCAACAACTACTGTAACTATTCATAAGTACTAACGAGTGATGCACACAATTTCTACTATCAAGTCAAAAAAATGTATCTATATCTACACTAATCATCTACATGCCTAAAATGAACGTTAAAATATGAGAATAAGATGTAAATGCACTAGACACATGCAATACGAACACAAAATCCTACAATAAATGTCTAACATGTTATTTTTCTCTACTTTTAACAAACACACATTAAAATTTATGGAAAATGGGAGATAAGAAAAAAACTACAAATAAGCATCTAGTTCATTTTCGATCATAGAAAATGGGCGAGAAGTAGGTCTGACTAAAAAAAAATCTAATTAACTACCAATGCATAATATATTGCAAAATATTGGGCCTCTCACTTCGTAAACAAACTTTCTAATTCTAAAAAAACTTCTGGGTAAACGTTTTCTGTGTTGACAATAAGAGAAATCAGTTATATATACATCTAAATCTTCCATAAATGACAGCTCAAAAAAGAGAAAAATGTCAAAAAATAAAAATAGAGAGATAAAGAGAAGAATGGCATGAAAAAAGACAGGAAACTTTAACAAAAACAACAAAAATCATTGTAACAAAACCACTTTAAGACGCAACACAAAGAAAGAGAGAGAGAGAGAGAGAGAGAGAGAGAGAGAGAGAGAGAGAGAGAGAGAGAGAGAGAGAGAGAGAGAGAGAGAGAGAGAGAGAGAGAGAGAGAGAGAGAGAGAGAGAGAGAGAGAGAGAGAGAGAGAGAGAGAGAGAGAGAGAGAGAGAGAGAGAGAAGAGAGAAAGAAAGAGAAGAAGAAGAAAGAAAGAAAGAAGAAGAAAGAAAGAAAGAAAGAAAGAAAGAAAAAGAAAGAAAAGAAAGAAAGAGAAAGAGATTAGATAATAGATAGACAGATAGATAGATAGAGATCTAGCATCAAGACATCAATCACTCCATAGAAATTATAAAAAAAAAAGAAATCCAACGAAAAAAAAAACAGCAAAGAAAAAAGAAAGAAAAAAAAAGAAAGAAAGAAAATAAACGAACAAACAGAGAGAATGAAAAAACAAACAAACAAACAAACAAACCAGCAACCCCACCCAACCCAAAAACTTACCGGGAACTTCGCAAACTTTGCCCCCATACCCAGAGGCACAGGCACACGCGAAGGCATCCAGACCGTCAATGCAGGTGGCACCATTGAGGCACGGGGAGGAGGCACACTCGTCTGCAAGGGTGGCTCGTCAGGCGGGGGTGGTTAGGGGGAGAGGCGCAAGAGGTGGAGGAGGTGGAGCGGTGGAAAAGGGGGGCGGAGGTTGTTAGGGGGAGAGTGGAAGGAGGTGGAGGTGGTGGTGGAGGTGAAAAGGATGTTAGGGGGGAGGGCGCAAGAGGTGGAGGTGGAGGAGGTGGAGGTGGTGGAGGTGGAGGGAAAAGGGGGGCGGAGGTGGAAGGGTGGAAGAGGTGGAGGTGGTGGAGGTGGAGGTGGAGGTGGAGTGGGGGCGAGGTTGTAGGGGGAGGCGCAAGAGGTGGAAGGTGCTGGGTGGTGGAGGTGGAAAAGGGGGGGAAGGATGGCTGGGAGGGGGGTGGAAAATGCATAAGGGGATGGAGGGTAGTGGAGGATGTGGAGGAGTGGAATAGGTGGAGATGATGGAGATGGTAGTGGAGGTGGAGGAGTTGTAGTGGAGGTGAAAAGGGGGGAAGGGAGGTGGAGGAGAGGAAGGTGGAGGAGATGGAATAGGAGCTGTGGTAGCGGAGGAGGAGGAGGTGGTGGTAGTGGAGTGAAAGGGGGAAAGGGAGGTGAAGGTGGTGTATGGAAAGGGCAAGGGGGGGTTAAAATAAGGAAAGGAGGTGGTAGTAGAAGAGTTGGAGGCACAGCTGGAGGTGGAGGTCGAGGAGGTGTGGAAGATGGAAGGGTTTGAGTGAGGAGAGGGAGGAGGCAGTAGTGAAGGAGGAGGTTTAGGGAAGTGGAGGAGATGGTGAGGGAGTAGAAGGAGGAGGAAGAGGAGAGAGGAAGAGAAAGAGAGGAAGGAGGAGGAGGGGAGGAGAGAAAGAGGAGGATGAGGAGAAGGAGGAGATGAGAGGAGGAGAGAGAAGGAGAGAGGAAGAGGATGAGGATTAGGACGATGATGGCGGGAGAAGAAGGAAGAAGGAGGGAGGAAGGAAAGGTAGAACCTCTTGGAATAAGGAAAGGGTTAATGAAAACAAATTATTTGCTTCTAAAACCTTGATTAATGCAGACCATCGTATAGTTTCTAAGGTCATTTTATTATGAAAAAGCCTTGTGGATCATCTTCCTTACGAAATAAAGGAAGAGGGAGGGAGGGTGGGAGGGAGAGAGGAGAGAGGGAGAGAGGGAGAGAGAGGAGAGGGAGAGGGAGAGGAGAGGGAGAGGGAGAGGGAGAGGGAGAGGGAGAGGGAGAGAGAGAGGGAGAGGAGAGAGAGAGAGAGAGGAGAGAGAGAGAGAGAGAGAGAGAGAGAGAGAGAGAGAGAGAGAGAGAGAGAGAGAGAGAGAGAGAGAGAGAGAGAGAGAGAGAGAGAGAGAGAAGAGAGAGAAGAAAGAGAAAGAGGGAGAGAGAAAGAGGGAGAGAGAAAGAGGGAGAGAGAAAGAGGGAGAGAGAAAGAGGGAGAAAAAAGAGAGAAAAATAAGGAAAGACGGAGAATTAAAAAAGAGAAAGAATTTGTCCACATTACTACGAGCTTAAACACAGACAACATAAGTGTATCCATTTACTCATGTTAGTACAGCAAAGCCCAGTATTTTTATTAATTTTTACGATTAATTGTTAAAAGTCATCAAATAGGAAGCAAAAGCTATGCTTATAAACCAATGATTAGTATGTGAGTTTTTCATTTATGATTTTGTAATATAATTTCGTTTTGTTTATATATTTTTTGGACCTGTAAACGGCTTATTTAATTGACAATATGTATATTTATGTTTCAGTATAACTACATCATAAATGTATCCAATTTTTTTATTGTATTATGTTCAGAATAAAATCTGGATTTTTGAAGGAAAAAAAAAGACATGTATGTACAATCTGTAATGTAAAGAAAAAATGTAGAAATAATTATCCATATATATATGTGTATCAGTGTGATAACTTTTGAAGAGATATTAGTTTGTTTAAATTAACACTCTAAAATCTATGTACTAACCAGGCTCATACTCCGTCTTCAATATCGAAAAAAGCCGAAAAACAAGGAAAAATAAAATAAAATAAAAAATAAAGAACTGAAAATACCCACACAATACCAGTCATTACCCTGAACCATTGTAAATACTGTGAAAAATACTGAAGACTATCAGCCGGTTTGTTAAAATTGTGCCAGGCCCGACCCAATGAATTTTCATAAACACACATGCAGAAACAACGGCATATCTGTCTATGTATCTGATAGATATATATCTAATAACCAATTTGTCGGGTTGATATGCATGTCTAGACTGATAAATATGAGTTTATTTATTAACTTATGCATGTCAAGTATACGAATATTCTTTGGGTCGGGCCTTGCACAATTCGAACAAACCGGTCGAATATCCACAGAATACCAAACATTACCTTGAACATACCAAGAAATATCACACGGGCTACGATTTTTTTTTTACCAAAATCCTAAAACGGCATTAAAGATTTTTTTTTATGAAAGGGAGAGAAAAAAAATAAATACAAAAATAAAACCCTTCTAAACAAAAATTGAAAAAAGGAAGAGACAATAAAAATACATAGAAATCTTTAAAAAAAAACTAGGTTTTGTCTCCCTAAAGATATAATAACATCAGTACTTTTTTTTTGTTTCCCCCTAAAGATTCTCTCTCCCTCTCCCTCTCCCTCTTTCTCTTTTACCACTAAAATTATATAAATATATATCAAGCTTCTCTCAGATGAAAAAAATGAAAAAATAACAAAACTAAAACCTCAGAATCAAAGTAAAAACCTCAAAACCTTAAAAAAATCAAAACCTAACCTACAGAACCTCACCCCTCCCAAAAAAATATACAAAACCTAACCCAAGAACCAACGACCTCGAAAAAAAAAATTAAATAAATAAATAAAATAAATAAATAAAACATTAAAACAAACCTCAGAACCTAAACAACCCCCTTCAAACTCACCCAAGTCGACCTCGCACGTCTTCCCGCCCCAACCTCGCGGGC